GACGAGTCACATATCCCTTTTCACTGACTTCGTGCCAAAGAGAAAGGGATTTGTCACATAAGGAAATAACAACAAAGGTTCTATACTTGGAAAAGGTAGTTTAGATAATCCCTAATCTACTATTATCTCGGATGTAATTCTAGTAGATGGACTTAAACACAATCTTCTAAGCATAAGCCAACTATGTGACAAGGGTTTTAAAGTGACTTTTAAAAAAAAATGTTGCTTATTTGTGCATGATGAAAAGAAAGAATGTGTATTTAAAGGTGTGAGGGTAAATAATACTTATATGCTAAATCTAAATGAAGTTTCCTTGGGTGGAACTAAGTGTCTAGCCACCATGAGTGAAAACTCTTGGTTTTGGCATAGACGTCTAACCCATTTTAACTTTGACCTATTGAACAAAGTATCCTCAAAACATCTAGTAATTGGTCTACCTAAACTAAAGTTCACTAAAGACCATTTATGTGACGCTTGTTTAAAAAGGAAGCAAACAAGAATTTATTTTAAATTGAAAAATATTGTTTCTACCTCTAGACCTCTTGAACTTCTCTACATGGATCTCTTTGGTCCCTCTAAGACCAAAATCATAGGTGGAAATTACTACGGGTTTGTTATTGTAGAAGATTACTCTAGATTTTGTTGGGTCTTTCTCTTGTCAAGTAAAGATGAAACCTACCTGGTATTTAAGCAATTTGCTGGATTATTCCAAAACAAAATGAATTTGAAAATTATTTCCATTCGAAGTGATCAGAGAGGAGAATTCCAAAATCACCTCTTTGAGAAATTTTTTGACAAACATGGCATTGAGCATAACTTTTCCGCTCCTAGAACACCATATCAAAATTGTGTTGTGGAACATAAAAATAGAATTTTAGAGGAGTTAGCGATAACTATGCTCAATGAAGGTAAGTTTCCTAAGTACTTTTTGGCGTATGCCATTAGCACAACATGTTATGTCATGAATAGGGTACTCATACATCTTATTCTAGACAAGACCCCCTACGAGGTACTTAGAGGTCGAAAACCAAATGTTTCTCACTTACATGTCTTTAGATGAAAATGTTATATATTGAATAACTATAGAGATAATCTTGGTAAATTCGATGCCAAAGCCGATGAGGGTGTCTTCCTTGGATACTCACAATCTAGCAAGGCATACAGAGTTTATAATAAGAGATTGCTTATAGTTGAAGAGTCTCTACATGTTGCTTTTGATGAATCCTACCCAAAAGTTATTGGGAAAGGTATTGTTTTTTATGATGTAGGTGTATTGTCTCAAGAAATGTTCAATGGAATCGAAGAAGGAATTGATCAACCTAAAGCGGTAGACGATGATAAGAAAGAGGATGATGATCATGAAGATAAAAAGGAAGAATATCTAGCTACAATGGAAGGTCTAACTTTGACTTGGAAGATATCAAAGGATCCCCCTATCGATAACATACTTGGAGACATCACAAATGGAGTAACTATTTGCTCTAAGATAAGTAATTTTTGTTATTACTTTGCGTTTGTGTCCCAAGTAGAGCCTAAAAATGCTAAAGATGCATTGCTTGATGAGCATTGGCTTATGGACATGCAATATGAACTAAATAAATTTTAAAGAAATGACATTTAGGACCTCGTCCCTCGTCCTAAAAATCATCAAGTAATTGGAACCCAATGGGTTTTTAGTAACAAACTTGATGAAAACAGGGTGATAACTTGCGATAAGGCCTGGCTAGTGGCGGAAGGCTATAACAAAGATTAAGGCATCAATCATGAGGAAACTTATGCTCTGGTGGCTCGCCTTGAGGCTATACGTCTTCAACTAGCTTATGCTTGTGCTAAGAAATATAGAGGTATGATCGACTCTCTTCTATATCTTACCGCATTTAGATCTGATATCATGTTTAGCGTATGCATATGTGCCCATTATCAATCGGCTCCTAAATAATCTCACTTAAAAGCCGTGAAGCGTATTCTTAGGTATCTTCATGGTACTTTTCAATATGGGCTTTGGTATTCTAAGGGAAGCGATTGTAACTTTGTTGGATACGCTGGCTCTAATTTGACTGGTTGTAAATCGGATAGGAAAAGCACTAATGGAACTTGCCACATGTTTTCAAATGCCTTAGTAAGTTGGCATAACAAGAAACAAGTTTTTGTTGCTTTGTCAACCGCCGAGGCGGAATATGTTGCGTCCGGATGCGGTTGTACCCAAATCGTGTGGCTTAAGCAACAATACTTGATTTTGATAAAAACTTGCAACATATTCTCATTATGTGCAACAACACTAGCACTATCAATCTAACCAAAAATTCGGTGCTACATTCACACACTAAGCATATTGAGACTCGCCATCATTTCCTACGTGATCATGTTGAAAAATGTGATGTCATATTCGAGCATGTTGATAGTAAACATCAACTAGCAGATATCTTTACAAAACCACTTGCGACCAAATATTTTTTTAACATCTGAAGGGAATTAGGGATACTCGATATCTCTAATCTTGCCTAGCACATTGTTTTATCACATGCACCTATATATACTCTTACTCTAATTGTCATTGGGAGTTTTATCTCATAAGAGTGCATGGTTCATCAATCTACATGAGAGGTAATATTGTTCCTTTTCTATCTCTCGCTTAATAAGTTTTCTTTTACATTACTTGTTGTTCATGCAAATTGCTAATATCCTTGATATATGAAGAATTTCATCAATATTCACTTCCAAAAATTTCTTTTGATCTTTGTCAATTATATGTTTATAATGATATTGTGTTATTCCTTCTATATACTTAAAATTCTTCTTTGGTGCATATTGGCTTATTATACATTTCTTCATGCACTTTGGTCGAACATGTTATGATGTTAAATGAATTCTTGTTGTGTCACTGTTATAGTTACATCTCTTTTTTTGGTTTGAGTGGTGATGACTTCGTATATCGCCTTGCTAGAGCACATGTGTGTGCAGCATTTTGGGAGCACCAAAAGCTTATGTCGCGTAATCGTGTCGCTTTTGTAGCAGCTCAAGGGTTTGTGATTACATTGTATCCTTCATTGTTCATGTTTATTTTATTTTAGCATTATGTGTAGAAATTGTGTTCCATTGTTACATGATGTGTTTGTATTTATGTTTAGGCGTTCTAAATCAATGTGCATATCATTCTATGTGAGTGTTATCGTGTTGATTACCTTCTCTTTACAAATTGCCTCTGTGTGGTATTTTGAATATTTATGTGGTTATCGATACTTCTCATAGTTTTCTTGTTCTCTTTTTGATGTTATGTATATTGGACGGTATCCTCCCACTCTAGATGAGCATCTTGCATTAGGAAGCACTCAAATAAGTTTGAAAAGGAGTATACATCATAATTGCATTGAAAACATGTTTTTGGGCAAACAAGTCAGTTCAAGCCGACGTATACAAAATTTTGTTCAAGTATAGAACGAAACATAACTTTTTAGGTCAGCACCCATGGAGCAGTATTGAAGCCTATATGCTCTTCCCGTAGGCCGCCTCACAAGCTGCCTCACAGGTAGGCCTGAATACCTACATAGGCTGACCTATACGTGTTCTATCCTCAAAAATTTCATTTTTACTTTAACTTATTGCATTCCTTTTGCTTATTCTCTCACATACCTATATATACTCATACATGCACCTTCTTCTAGTTTAACAAGGTTTTCTAGAGAGTAAAAACCTAAACGAAACCAGATTACAAAGTTTCTCATCATCTTCATCCCTTCTTCTATGCATACACACAATTGAACTACACATAATCATTTTTCGATTGAGTGACCATCTAGATTAGGGTTGGTAACGCCCAATTAGGTTTGGTGTAACCGATAATATTGGGTTGGGAACTTTGTGTGTTTCAAATAAGAAAACCAATGTGGGGTTTTTTCTTCAAGATCAGTGTGATTTGAAGATTTTGGACAAGATCACGTCAACACAGATTCGACCGAGTGAAGACCTTGGGACAAGGTGGTTTCCTTACAAAGAAGTAGCGTGAGACACTGAATTGTGTTTGAGAATATTGGGTTTCAACAAGTTGCGTGCTCGTAATAATCGGAGGATTATAGCCGCATTGTTGGTCAATTGGTCAAGATTTGATCAAGGGTTTGGAGGTGCAAGAATCAACACAAATCATAGGGATTTGTGGGTTTGAGTTCTTCATCTCTTGTATAAACATTTTTGCTAACCAATTGGATCACAACTTTTCTTCCGCCATCAAATTTGTTTGAAAATTCATCGTGCCAAGCAATGTTCAAATTTTTGCTTGGTGACTCCTTTTTAATAGGCTTCAAACCAAGGATGAATTAACCAAACGTGAGGTCCTAAGTGGTGCTCATAATTTCATATGACCACTCTGTTTTGGTCTGGATGAATCACACCTGCATCTTTTTCTTCTTTGCCCTGTGGCATCTCATGTGCTGGGATCTTGGATCATTGGTAGGCATTTCAAAATTTCCTAAAAGGTAGAATTAAAAAAATACATATTCTCTCTTGGCTGGTAGTCATATGGTTATTTTGGTTAGTTAGAAATGACACACTCTTTAAAGGAAGGCACAAAAGGATTGTTGAAATTATGCCATTGGCCAAATCGATATTGTGGGATTGATTCAGAGCAAGATCTAAAGGCCATCTTGTGCTCGATAAGAAAAATTGGTCTATTGACTTGTATTTCTTAATCTTATTTCCAGAGTTTAATTTGTAATTTTTTTGTAGTTTCTTCTTACTTATAAAAAAAGGCATTTAATCACCCGCATTTAATAAATTAAATATAAATTGATACATTATATATTGGTTAAATTAAAAACACTCTAAACACAAAATTAAAAATATATTAACCCATAAGTATTATTTTTATTATAACAATATAACAAAATATTGGAGTTATGCTCCATCCATAAAATACAATATAACAATAGTAAATAAAAAAGTTAAACACTAACATAATAACACAATAATGTAATTTCTTATGATAAAATCCCTATTTTAACAACATCCTATTGCTTCATTTTATCAATGCTTTCATCAAACATGGCACCAATATTAAACAATGTAGAAGGATCAGAATCTGCTGAACAAGAGCCTAAAGAACCATCCCCCAAATCACTCAGTTCATCCCAAAACTCATCAATGTTCACTTCTTCATCTATCTCAATAGAACTTTTTCCATTCATCCAAGAGTTTGGCTCAAGAGCAACAGGTGGTGATGGTAAGGTGTGCTTAGGAATCTCACAAACCAGCTGCCTAGGCATAATCCCATTACTATAACGATAACGTTGGAGATAGAAGCTCAAGCCCTTAGCATAGTTATGGTAACCTAAACTCATCATGGCCCATAGTAAATCTTCAGCACCTAAAATTTTTCTTGACTCCTTTATGCAACGTTCAGTGGCTTTTTTGGTTACCATGCTAATGAACTTTGAGGCACTTTGTTCAGCAAGCTCTTTTGCTCCATCAGAGATTTTTATGTGTGGTGGTAAACCTTTTCTCATGATTTTTGCCACATTTTTTAATGGCAAGGAACTTTTCTCTTGCATAGTCAATTGTGGCACAATGTCATCCTTCATGGGAGTCATTGTTGCACCTATTTCTAGTTCTGAAAATCATAATATCAAGATCCAAATAAAATTTAATATAATATCTAAACCAATCAAAAAATATTTTAAAACATTCATGGAATTATGCATGAAACATAAAAGTATAGTAAAAAAACATACATATTAGTTTTCATATATGAATATTTGAAATAATTGAATTATTCCGATTTTAATATCTTAATATTTTTAATTAAAATTTTATAAGTAATATGAATAAACTCATATGTAAGTCGCCGATAGAAATCGAAATAAATTATATAGATATAAAAAAAGATAGAAACTATTTTTTTTTAAATGACTCAAAACCAACTTTTTTTACCAGAACTTGATATTGGATTTTGATCATTGTGAAAGAGAGGATATTCATGCTCCATGCTTGATTCTCACACTTCAATGGATACTAATCCCAGCCCAACCATTGAATATATAGGAGAGGAAAAAGTCATGCAATTAAAATAATAATTTAAAAGAGATTTTTTTTAAAGTATATCTAGAATCATTTTTAAAGATTAATCTTTATTAATATAATATTAATCATTAAAAAAGTTAAATTTAGAATTATAAATTTTATTTATTTATAACAAGACAAATAATGCAAATAAACAATATAAAAAGTAAAAAAAATTATTAAAAGAAAAGAAATATTAAAATTTTCTTTTGACTATAAATTAATATAAAAGTACCAAACCACTTTTCATATAATTTAATATTATTTTCTCCTTATACAATTTATTTTCCAAATTCTTTAGCTTTTTGGAAAAAAGATGCAGATAATTTAGAGTTTGGTAACTAGGTATTTTAAGTTTTATAAAAAAATTTAAGTTTTGATTTTTAATTAATAAAAGAAAAGGGGTAATTTAATTTTTTTAATAAAATTTTACCACCATTCATAAGAGAATTTAGAGTGAAGATATATTTTAATCCTTTATAAAAATTAGAAAGAGTAAATTAATCCTAAGAAGAAAAAACAAAGTCTCTATTAGACCTCTTGGTTAGTGAACATCTATCTATACCACTACGCCAATATATTTATTATGTTTTGAATTACAAATAACATTTATCTCAACACAATTTCTTAATATTTTTTAATTACTAGCAATACTTAATATATTTTGATCTTTAATAAAAAAATAAATTATTTATTCTTTTACAAAATTTAATTAGGTTTTGATCTCAAAAAAAATACGCTATTTAATACCTTAAAAAATACACCATCTAAAAAATGCACATATATTCAATCATATATTATAGTATCATTACATTGAAATCAAGAAATAAAAATTCTACATTATCATCACACACAATATAAATGTACAATCAAATTCAAAATATTATAGTACCATCAAATTCTAAAAACATTTGTACAAACAAATAGAACATCAAAGTCTAAAACATCTAGTATCACCAAAATAAACAAAACAAATAAAGTAGCATAAAATTGTAATGAACGTTGTATTAACTATTACAACTTAAAATTTTTTTTGATAATTCCATCAAATTCAAAAGACAAATTAAATAAAGTAGAAGGAAATAAAACAAAAATAATACACATGAGTCAATCCAGTAAGGATTAAAATGTAGGAAAAAGGAAAAGTTTGAAAAAATATTATTAAAGAGACTAACATAATTCGGTTAAATTTTGCAAGAGATTTAATAGAATCTTTTTTTTTTCATAAGGATTAATTTAGACTCTTCAATTTTTCAAATGACTAAAATGGATCTTCATTCTTAAGGTTATTATAAGCCTAATCTCTTACAACTTGGATTTCACCTCAAGTTCATTTCTGGTTACAAGTCAAAATTAGATTCTATTAAAACAATTCAACTTTAATTAAAACATATTAATCATTTACATAAAAGAAAATTGTATAAATATATTTTGGTTCATTTTATGTAAACGTAAAATTAAAAATATTTTTTTATTAGGTAAAATACTACTTCTTGTCCTTTAACTTTAACTCGGAATCTATTTTGGTCCCTTAATTTTTAAAATGTTCAAATTGATCCCTTAATTTTTTAAACCGGATCACGTTCGTCCTTTCGTTTTTCTCCGTTAGTGAGGATTGAGTAAGAGTGTCCATGTGGTTTTGATGTGGCTTGCTATCCTTACGTGGCTTTGATCTGGTATTAACATGTTATATGTTATGTTATTGTGAAGATTGTCATTTTAAGAAAGCCAAGTGAAGAAAGCCAAGAAAAGCTCATGCAGAGAATGGTTGAAGGCAAAAATCATTGTTCCAAAAAGCGTTTGAGTTTCAGCGAAAGGTTGAAGAAGGCATTGCAAACAGGTTAGTTTGTTGTTCCTTTGCATGAGTTATATATGTTATGTTTTTAATGTGAGAATTTAGGATTTCTTTTAAAAATCAGGGCTTTGTATGTTTTCTATCTTTTTCAATTAGAGTTTTTAATAATATCGATTATGAACTGAATAGGTGTAATGGAGAGTTTATAGTACTAAGAATTCATCATAGTGGTAAATTCGTTGATGGTGATCTTAGAGTGTATGAAGGAGGGAAAGTTGATGAGCTAAAAGTAGATGTGGACAGATGGAGTTACTTTGAGTTTATAGGTAGACTAAAGGACTTAGGTTATAGGGATTTTGAGAAAATCTATTACAATGACCTGACATTTGGGATGAATTAATTGAATGATGATGCAGGAGTATTAGAAATAACTGATCTTTATAGGGCTCACCTAGGTGTAAACATTTACATTCAACACAAACTTAATCAGCCTGATTATGATGATGAGCCTATAGAAGCAAAATTAGGAAATTGTGACAATGTGAATGAAGGGTTTGATGTGGTTGAGGAAGTGTTTTCTAAATTGTATGAAGCAGTCAATGAAAATGATACTTTTAAAGAAGCTGAAAATGTTGGCTTGGATGGACCTATAGAAACAGAATTGAATTCTTAAAATGTTGGTTTGGATGCTCAAAATGTTGGTTCGGATGGGTCTACAGAAGCATAATTGGATGCTACAAATTTTGTCTTTGATTTTTCCTTACAGTCTGTGACTAAATAAAGAAAAAATAATACACATGAAACAGTTCAGTCACGATTCAAAAATAAGAAAAAAAATCTGTTTTAAAAAAATATTATTAGAGAGACTAACACGACTCACTTAATTTTTCTTAAGGGTATTATAAGCCTACTCTCTTACAACTTAGATTTCATTTATGGTTACAAATCAAAATTAGATTCTATAAAAACAATTCAACTTTAATTAAAACATATTAATTATTTACATCAAAAAAAATTTTTTATAAATTTATTTTGGTTTTAATTATTTACATCAAAAAAAATTTTTATAAATTTATTTTGGTTTATTGTATGTAAAGTAAAACTAAAAATGACTTTTTTTATATATTATTTTTTTGTATAATTCTATGTATAATTTAATTAAAAAGTGTGTAATTATTACATATAAAAATCTTATTATTATTTATATATATTCATATATAGATATATATATAATATATATATATATATATATATATATATATATATATATATATATATATATATATATATATATATATATATATATATATATATATATATATATATATATATATATATATATATATATATATATATATATATATATATATATATATATATATATATATATATATATATATATATATATATATATATATATATATATATATATATATATATATATATATATATATATATATATATATATATATATATATATATATATATATATATATATATATATATATATATATATATATATATATATATATATATATATATATATATATATATATATATATATATATATATATATATATATATATATATATATATATATATATATATATATATATATATATATATATATATATATATATATATATATATATATATATATATATATATATATATATATATATATATATATATATATATATATATATATATATATATATATATATATATATATATATATATATATATATATATATATATCCTTTTTTTAAAATTTATTAATTTATAAATATCAACAACTTATTTAATTAATACACAAATATAAATAATTTTTATTAAAGATTGAATTTTACATGAACAATTTCAACTTATTTAACTCAAATATATAATTAATAACATATTTGATATCTAAAAATATTCAATAAAAAGTTTTATTAGCACGTGTACAAGGACCAATTAAGTTCTTTATATTTTCAATTATATTAAAATAATTAAACAATTTTTGCTTGTGTTAAATGAATATATATTAAATGATATATTATTTTTAAATTTGACTATAAAATCATATTTATTTTAATTAAGGTTATACGATAATAAAAAATAGTACATCTGTCAAAGAAAAGAGATCAATCCTTGAATAATAATGCTTTCTTTAACATTTTAAAGGAGATGATGATGAATGTGTTAAATATATTGGTAAAATAAATAAACTCACTTAGGCATGTTAAAAGATTTTAAAAATGATCATAAATATGTAGCAGTGTTAAATCTCTTGAGTGAAAATTTTACCACCTATTATAGTCTTTCTCAATTCAAGATCCAATTTATACCAAAACAAAATAAAAAATAAAAAATGAGAACCACTTTTCTTAACTTTGAAGTGAGGAACTTATTTGACTGGCTATAAATTCACATTTTATCTATTTATCCATTTCATATTTGTCACATAGAAAATACTTTTATGATTGATTGATTTATAACTATCACGAAAATATTTCTTTTACTTCGGTTAGAAATGGGGATTAACGTCAGTTTCGTATGTGAGATAACGAAGAACGTCATAAAAATTGTGTAATTTTATCCCTCAGTTGAGCTTACATCGAGGAGAAAGACTTATGGTCGTGGGTTTAATTCTAAGCAAATGCATTTTTTTTTATTTTTCAGAATTGTATGGCACTTCCCATTTTCCCCTAAATTATATGAAACACCGAGGTAATAGATTTCGTCTTACTACCTCAG